TATTTATGTCTCTAGTTTTAATGGTTAGGATTTATTCAAATTTATTAAAAATTATGATAAGTCTCGACTATTAAAAATAAAGAAATAAATAATCAAAATTTTATATAAATATAATATATAAGATTTAAATGTAAGTAAATCTCTCTTTTACATAAAAATTCACAATTTTATGATCTAAATTATAAAGCCTGAATAAATTAAAGATAATTTCGACAGTCAAAATACTTATCTCCATATCCAATAATTTGTATTTGTGCAGGCCTACACATTTCTGTAAAAATACCAATGAAGTTGAAAAATCGTTTGCCTTATTTTATGAAATCAATAAATTCAGATTGGGACAGAAAACATAGTAGACCTTCGCAGCTTCTGGAGGCATCATATTTTAACAAAATTGGATTTGTATATTAACCAACAAGAGAGTCCAGGAGAATTATAACCACAGACCTTTTAGACACATTTTCTGGTTTATTATCACTCGATGTATTAGACCTTTTTGTGAGTCTGGGCTCTATTTGGCCTTTTTGTGAGGCTGGGCTCATACCCAAAGTAATCCTTGTCGTTTCCATCTAAAAGCTGCGTTGAGAACTGAGATTGCTACATAGGGTAATTGTCCAAATAAACACATACCGTATTATATTATGAAATTAGTATTTATTTGTTTTATTCCTAAAAAATTATTTTAAAATCATATTATTTTAATAAAATATTATAAAAATAAAAAATAATTTCATTTATATTTTAGAAATAAAATATTTTAGTTTTTTTATAATAAGAATTTATTAAAATAATATAATTTTAAAATAATTTTTCCTTTAAATTTTGAAAAATAAGGTAAATGGATACTATTCTCTTATCTTATTTATTACTCTTGGTGAGATTTGATTGTCTTAGTTCGATTTTTACATAAAATATGATCAGATAATTTTATAGTAAATGAATAATAAATAATTTTTTCTTTCTATAGATAACTCTTATTGAGTATTTTCACTTAAATCAAAAAAATTTTTAATTATATTTTATTTATTAAATAAATTTTTATGTATAAATAAAATTAGGACAGATTAAATTTTACTGAGGGAGTACTCTTTATGTGTCAAAGTACTCTCTTTATTTCAAAATAGTTATATTTTTTTTTTCTTAATTTTATCTTAAATTAATTGTTTTTTATTTCAATAGAAAAATATTTTTTCCTCATTTAATCCTATCATTATTATTTATTTTAGTTTATTATGCTATCACAAAAAGTATATTTTTATTTTTTAGTTTTTCTCCTAAAGTAATATATATAGATAAATTCATGTATTTACCTGAGGTATGTAGGTAAATATATAAAGTGTTTCTCAATCCTTTAATTTGGGCAAACAAATAAAAAAATAATTATTTTTGGATAGAGAAAGTAATTGTGAATTTTTAACTTATTTTATATTATCTTATGTTTTTATTTTTATTATTATTATTTTTTGAATGGCAAAAAAAAACAATACTCCTTTTATTTATTTTTTTTTTGTAAATTTAATTTGACTTTTTGATTTTTAAGATATGAATCTTAGATGAAAATTTAATAATACATACGAATAAAAATTAAAATTTTTTTGGTCAAATAAAAATATTTAACAAGAATTATATATAGAAGCAAAAAAATTTTAATAATTATTTACATAGATGGTTAAACTTTTATCTAAAATTTATATCTTAAAATTAAAAAAATCAAACTAACTTTATTAAAAATAAATAAAAAGTATAAAAATAGAGTTCAAAGCTACTACTAACTCAAATACATTGTTGGTTTATTTCCTTATCTTACATTTTGTAGAGGCGGATAGCAACATTCAAAACATCCGACCACATTTTTAAAACTAACATTTCACAGGAGCTAAAACTTGTCACTCTAGTACTATTATACCCATAAAAGAGCAAAAACAACCAGGGCCTTCACGAAATTGCCCACCCAGCACCTACATTTTGTTGCCCCCTTTTGATCTTCTTGGCGCATTCCGTTGGTGAAGAAATCCAGTCTCTGAATGAAAAATCTATTAACCAGAGAAATGATCATGTTTGAACTAATGGGAATAGTTTATCCTCATCAGCATCAATTCCTTTGAACAACAGTTCGTTTTTATACAGCAGTAAAGTCCATACAACAACAAACCATACAAGCCCCCACCCACCATTGCCATTCCTCCTCATATTTATCCAAAAGTGTTGGTGAAAAACCTACTCTAAGTTACCACACAGGACATAGGATGAACCCCACCACCTTAAGCATTTTGACCACGGTCCCCATGCAATCGAGTAGTTTAACAGCAAATAATCCCCACTCTCATCATAGGAGCCACACAAATTATAGATAACTTGGGATTCCTTTCTTAATACACCTCTAGCTAACAGAGTATCCTTGGGAGGGATTCATCTTTGTAAAGCTTGCCACAAAAAAGCACATACCTTCTTCGGGGCCAACGGCTACCAGCATTTCTTCCAAGCTCTAAGGATTGCATTAGATATTTGTAGGTCGACTCCAGGGAGTAGCTTCCATGAATTTCCCATCTCCAGATCCATCTATCTTCCCTATTTGCTGTCGGCCTATTCTCTTTTATAAGCTCTTCCAACTGGCCAATGGTCTTAGTATCCCTCTGGAAAGGTTGGCGTCTCCATTTGAGATCCCACAGCCATGCATTGTTCCTTCATAATCCCATTTCAATAACTGTGATATTCTTGTCAGTTGATAAT